AACATAGTGGGGAAAAGTGGGAAAAGGAGACGTATATCACACCATGGACTCAAGGTCAGCTAATAGTCAACTAAATACTGTTTCTTCATTTAAAAAAAGCAGATTGTGGCTATCCCAATAAGAATAGCCTGTTCATGTTCTAAACAAGAACTTAAGTCTTAGACTGCATTAAAGAGTGTATATAGAACATGGGGAAGTACTTGCTGACTCTGCCTTCATCAGAGAACATGTAGCGCAATACATTTAATTCTGGGCACCAACCATTACTTGGGTCACTGACAGAATTATGTCATGTCCATAGAAGAGTTAAGAAAACTAATGAGGACTTGGAAACATATCATAGGTGAAATAATTACAGGAACTGAAGATGATTCACCTAGAAAAGGAAAAAATGGGCCTAACATAGTTCTTCAAATATTTGCAAGGCAATTTCATGGCACAGACACTACTTACGCTATCTTGTTCTAGAAAGAGGACCTGGGGAGCTAAGGGAAGTCTAAAAATTATAACTGTACAAATATGAAATGGGTTGCTTCCTAGAGGATGATATATAGCACATAGTAGATGGTCAATAACACGTCTTGGATAATTGTTAAATAAAAGTGTAAAGAACTGGTCTAGATGTTTCAAGGGTTTTTTTGCAGTTAATCGTGGTCATTGGTGTTCTGAAACATGGTTTTTGGAAAGAATGGGAACAGGGTTGCATAAGCTGAAGAGAGAACACATGATGCCTAAATGTCTATTAAATTAAAAATTGTATCCCCAGAAATAAAGCAAAAAGGGAGTGCTGGAAAAAGACCAGGACAGGGTGTGGGGACAGCTAGGCTCTAGTCTAATCAACGTGTCAGTGGAGGAGTGATCTGAACACTCTGGAGTCTACTTCTTAGCCTGCAAGTCAGGACACTGGAACTGATAATCACTGTCCTGGACTTCGAGATCTCTAACGTCTTAAGTGTTGAATAAAGTATCCAAGTGACATAATGAGTAACTTAAATAAATGTGTTTGACTTGCATGAGTAAAAATACAAATACAAGGATAAGTTTATTATAATGAATTGTAAGAAATTCTACAAACATAAATAATGGATAGCAAGAAAGGCAGGTAAAGGAGGCAACACTAGAAGAAAAGAGAATCCTCCAGAAGAACACTAAATTAAAATTTACAATTTATACTGAACTCTACCTGGACAACAAGAAAAAAAGTTAAGGGAGGTAAATGTGTTAAATAAATAAAATACATTAATTTAATATGTTGCATGCATCTCTTCCAACTCTGCTTTCAATAATGTCCAGTTAATAGCTTAAAATTGGCCGTGGGAGTATTGACACCACAGAATTCAGCACATGCTACAAACCAGGACTTGATTTTTATTTGGAGATCCAGTTGTTAAACATTTACCAACACATCACCACCCACCTACTCCAAACTTCTACTAAATATATTCCCAAAACAATTTCTTCTTTTCACTTTGATCTCAAAATATGTAGAGCCTTGTTATGAAACCATCTGTTATTTCTTTATTATTCTATAATGTGGGTCCAATTCAGATTTCAGCATAAAATGGCCTATGGTTAGAACTGGAAGTATAATTTGAGGGTAAATTGAACTACTTAAAGTGTATTAGTCATGTGGCATGGCTAGATATAAAATATGAGGTTCTAAAAAATGTTCAATTGTCAATATGCGTTGAGAATTCTAAAGGTATAAAAAAATAGTAAATCCTGCCAGTGTCCCATTGCACAAAGAATAAATTTGATCTCTTTGTAGTAACCTTCACAACAGAATCTAATTTGACGACAATTTATATTTCAGGTCTCTTGGCTTTTCTAACCTTTTTTCTGATCTTCTTATTCACCAAAGTCATTCCCCATCTCAACATTTTTATATCACTCTTTACTTCCAGGGACCACTGTTTGGTGAGTTCTCTTCCCTCTGTCTCTTCCTTCTCTCTCTCTCTCCCTCCTCCCCTCTGTTCCCCCCGTTTCCGTCTTCATCTCCATGTCTTTCTCTCCTCTGCATCATTCTTCTCTCACTTCCTCAGAAAACTCACTCCGCCCACCTATACAAAATGGGACGCCCCTCCCACAATTACTGTGTATCTCATTACCCTTTCCATTTTCTTCACACATTTGTCCTGCTTACGAGTGTGAACTTCCATTGTCCATCTTTCATGGTTGACTATAATATTCAGGAAAGCAGCAATTTTATGTTTGTTATTCACTGATGAATATTGTGTCCCTTTAAGAGTCGTTGGACCAGAACAGCTGTGACTGCAGGAGAGAAGGAAGGAAAGATAGGAGGGAAGAGAATTTAGCATCTTGGCCTTGATTTTAGGGGGTTAAGGTACTGAAATAATGAGACATTCATTAACAGGCAGCTTCACTTCTTAAGAAGCTGGTTCCTCTTCATGGAATATAATGACAGCATGGAATGAAAGCTTCACTGTAGAAGTTAACATAGCCAAAATCTGCAAATACACATCTCTGTTTTCAAGCATAAGTATTTATTGGATTTTAGCCAGGGACACATGAAGAGTTAGAACTTTTCAAACTATTAGCACTTGGACTTTAAAAACAAAGACAATGATATTTATCTCTGAGCTATAGTCAACTCTCTTTTGTGAAGTTTTCTAGATGTATATGTAACATATAACACTGGGCTGTGTACTTGATTCTTTAAGGCTGAATGTAATAAGTGGTGACTAAGGAGAAGCATCGTGAAGGAAAAGGAGAAGCAATTGGCTTATTTCTCTTCAGAAATGTCGTAGACCAAAGCTGTTTCATTTTATTCCTTTTGGCAGATCGTTTGAACTAATTTGATCTTCAGCCCATAGATTTGAAAGTGTTTTTAAGGCATGATCTCAGCACCCAGTTAATTCAAAGACAAATTGTTTCTGAGACTACTGCTTCAGGATACGCTGCTTTATTTAACATTAATTTAGGGGGAAATATTGAAATATATTCTCTAAGGCTTTGGGGTGTTATTGCACTGGCTCCTATCGATTTTATTATTATTGTTTCTGAAAATGTATTGCATGTGCAGTGTATAACTTGACTGTATGTCTGCCAACTAGAAAAATGTAACATTTGTGCTTAAGGATATTATAACTGAGAAACAAAAGACAATCATACCAAAACATATGTATATGTAGAGATGCAAAGAACATTACCTTGCCAAACACAGCTTAGGTATAAAAGAGAAGGAAATTACAAGCAAATACATTGGAGGAATAATTAGTGGGAATTGGAGTCTTCTATTCAGTCAGATTTTTTTCCATTTTCTGGATTATTGAGAAGAAAAATAAACTGAATAATCTCTGATATTTCTGAGACTATTTTAAGACATAAGCAGAATTTTACTATAACTCATGCTCTTTTGAATATAACAAGTTTTGTAGCATTGAGAAATAGGACATACAGTAAAGTTAAATTCTGTTTGCATGTATCCTGGACCCTCTTAAGCACAGTAAAGTCTTATCATGACAAAAGTTCTATAGTTCTCTGTCTGAGCCTCAGTACATGTTTTAGAAAGAGGGGCAATGGAAAGAATTTGAAGTACTAATCACAGCATAGTATTCTAAAGGAGTTAATACAGCCCCGCAAATTCCTAATTTATTCTTAAAATTAATGTCTTCATGAAAAAGCACTAGCTCTTTTATTTTGACATCAGTCTGTTAAACCAAGCAAAAGTTTAACTTACCCAAATAATGTATTAATATTAGCTTAATTAATTATTATTTTACCAACTTAATCTAATAGATCAATTAATTAGCCCCTGAAAACTAATGCTTTGTAATATTAAGAATCTGCTCTAGTAGTTTGAAGTATAGAGACTCCTACAGAATTACATTAATCCATGAAATTACTCTAGTCTGTATTTATTCTTGGTTTCTCCCAATGGTAGCTTGGAAATATAGGAAGATTAAAAGAAAAAATGTCAAAAACAAAATAAAAGATCTGATTCAGACAATCACCTCATTCATTTCACTACTAATACCATCACCTAAGCAAAGACCCCAAACTGTTCCTTATATTCACACTCTTTAGGCTTCTTTTGTCATATATTTTCCCTTTGAGGTTACTTCTGGTGGCCCTTTTGCAGCTGATTTCACCTCAATAAATGTTTCAGACAGATGAGAAGATGGTAACATGAGACCCAAATGATGATTTCTCTCAAAAGGACTCTCCCTGAGTCCATTACACCCTTCAATAGAGTCTTCCTGTGCTTTCCATGATCTTATTTTTTTCACCCGATACTCTGCCCAACCCTGATACCTTATGCAGCACACAAGGAATCTGGAAGATTTCTAATACTGATTGACTTGTTTTGAACACACAAGAATAGTAAACAGTCATGCCCAAATAACTCTACATGGTCAAAGAGAACCTTTAGCTATTTCCCTAAATATATGTCTATATTATAGAGAATTCAGGATAAGTAACCAACATAATTTACAAATACACACATACACACACACACACACAATTGAGTCCTTTTACAAAAGTTTGTAAAAGAAAAAGAGGTTGCAAAGAAATATTAACAGTAGCATAGCTTCCCATTGTTTTACTATACTCAGAAGTATTCTTCCAAAAATATTCTCTTATATGTACCCTTAAATGTCTAACCACAAATAATTGAATTATTAGTATATTATAATTAATTTGTACTATGAAAAGAGTAATATATAACTTTTCCCAAGAATAAGTAATTCGAAAGTCATAAATATGTATTAGTGCTCATTGATGTTATACTTCCTTTTCATTGTACTTTGCACCAGAAGACATGTATTTACTATTCATGTAAAATGCTTCCCTGGCACTCAGTTACTATCTCCGCAATGAAGAGGCCATTGATGATCCAGAACAAAACTTTCCTTTCCCCTTAAGTAGAAGACTGCCTATTATTCAGTGTCCATTTTGTCTTATTGAAGAACAGGGCTCTTCTTATTCTTTCTGAGAAATGGCCTTTCAGATTCAGTAACACATGTTCTGTTCCTCAGGAAATAAAAGAAGATCGAGATAGGGCGCGGCTGGACTCAATGGTGCTGCTAATTATGAAGCTGGACCAACTTGATCAGGACATTGAGAATGCTCTCAGCGCCAGCTCCTCTCCATCCAGCACACCAACCAACCTGCGACGGCACGTTCCTGTGAGTCTTCTACTTTCCTCTTCTTTTCCCACGAGCATATTGTCTCTTTACTTCATATGGTCCCTCATGTACATGAAACATCTTTGATGGTAGCATCTACCCACATGTGGCCATAAAAGTGTTTCATAAAACCTACTCAAATACTTCTATGTTTCATGCAGAGTCTATTAGAGAAGTATGCAATTCAAAAGAAAATGTCTATTATTATTAATTAGACCGAAAGAGAGTCACCCAGGAAAATTATGCTCTTGGTAATCAAATCCTCTTCATTATGATTGTTTCCTAATTATCAGTATTTAACGATATGCTATGAACATCATTAGCAATGCTATCTATCTTACATAGTATTTTATTTCCAGTATCTGCAAATTTGCATTGCATATAGAAGGTGATTAATAAATATTTGCTGCATGGATGGATGGATGGGTGGATGGATGGACACATACTACAAGAAAGAATTTAAATTAACTTGAAAACACTCTTCAGTTAACTCAGTGGAAAAGACAAGTGTAAGAATTTTATTCTATGCATTCATTTTATGTAAGAACCATCACTCCTCAGAGATTCTGACACTCATAATTTGAATGACACAGATTCCAGACTGACTGTACACTTTACATATTTATTATTAGCTCTACATTAAATGCCTTGGTTTTTACAGATCTAACAAATGTGATGGTAGAATTTATAAATAAGCCACACTTTTTTTTTCAATTTATCTTTTACTTTCATTAGCAGTAATAAACACATTAAGTCAAGAAATTGTATTTACCTAAGACCAAAAGGACAGAAAATCATGTACATAAATTTGAACATCTATGAAAATAGAACTATTCTGTATCAAGCCTCTTACTCAGTATAGTTCTACCATTGATTCTGCAGTTATTTGAGACTTATTCTGATTGTGAGACAGAATATTTCAAAATAAGTAGACAAACTAAAATAATAACTAACTTTAGTGCATCATAGGTATTATTCCAAGCTCTTCACATATGTCAACACATTTATTCCTCACAACATGTTTCAGGTGAGTGAAAAGCATAGGAAAGTTAGTAATTATACGGGCCACAGATGGGATACAGACCCAGCCAGTCTTGATCCAGAGCCATGTCATGTAACCACTACACCATACTGGTTTCTGTAGCTGACTATAATGGAAATGTCACAGCTTGAACAAAAAAAAATGATTAGAAGTGAATATGAAATTAAATACTTCAAACTAGAAAGCCAGTAGAAATTTTTGTTCTTCCTGTAACCTCCCAGATCATTTTTTCTTATCCTTCAGGATTAATCTCAAATGTTTTCTTTAGGGTAAAATCTTCCCTAAATGTCCACTTTTTTCCCAGACAGAATCAACCAGTCCTTCCCCGTTGCTGCCTCAATGTTTGCACATATTTTTAGTAGGACAGGCATCCAAATGGAGGAAATGCAATCAAAGCCATCTGAAGACCAACAAGAAGGGATGTTTAATCTTGTTTCCATATGAGGAGTGTACAGACATGTCATACTCATTTTCATCAACATTTTTAAAACCAGAAGTAACCATATTTTTCAACAGGAGTTCTCCTTAGTACTTTTTTGCTATCGATGTGGGCATAGAACACATTTTCTCTTTTAAAATTGTCTGGTATGATTTTTTCATCGCTCTCCTATCACTTTGACCTTTCCCCCTTTTCCCTCTACATTGAACTTTCCTCAAGCCCCAAGTATTTAGGAGAAAAACCACAGCCCAGGTTTCTGCTATATACAACTCCATATTGTTCTCTTCATGTCCGAGATCAAGATAGCCTGTACCTGTTAGACACACTTCTCTGTTGAATGATAAAGACAACAAAAGGTGAGGAGCAAATGTTCGTGATGGTTTTTGAAATTTGACTGTATCTACATCTTCTGTCTCCATTTAAGATATAAACTAAATTTTATATTATATGCATTAGCTGATGGAATATCACTACCATTGTCAAATAATGGTTCATTCTATAAATAAATATCTATTTCAAGTTTTCAGTTCAACAGATAGGCAAAATAATGCATTAGGAACGTTGAAGTCTGCAGGTCTGGGTCCAAATGGCAACTCTACAACTGACTATCTGAGAACACAGGAAAATTATTAATTTCTCACATTCACGATTTTGTGAAAAAAAGATATTATTTCCTACATAATGGCTTCTTGGGAGGAGTAAGTGAAAGAACGTTCATAAGATGTGTTGCAAAGATTTGGCAGGAAGTACAAGTTGGTGTTTGTTAACTCCCTTTCCTTCTTCCATGTTCTCATTCATACCAGACACTGGGCTAAATTGAAGAAAACCTCTCCTCAGCCCTCAAAACCTCTTTTTGGTCTCTATGTTTATTTTGGGTCATCCTTTGTTCTTTATTGATGTTCCTTGGTATTTAAAGCTAATTTTAAAACTCTCTCATCATCAAAATATTTTCCGCGGGTGCTTTCCGTTACTTTTGATAATTGTGCCATGGAATAATGGGATTATAACAGAATGATTATGACCTTGATCATCCACCAAGAAGCACTGTCCCAGATTCAGAGAAACTCCCTCTGCCGCATTCTCATATTGCACTGTGACTTTACAGCTTAGGAGGGAGAACAAGAACAAGACACACAATGAAGCAACGACCTCAGTTTGAGATTACTTATGAGAAAATGCTGCATGGAGCAAGTTCTACTTATAAGATATTTAAAGCACAATGTAGGCTGGAGCCTTTAGGAATGTCTTTAAGATGAAATATATATATATTAACTTTATATATTTATATATATATGTATGTAATATATATATAAAGTAAAGACTTTAAGGAGGCTGTATTGACAGAGCCTAACAAGTTGGGGTCAAATAGACCTGATTTTTAGTGCCAGCTCTGCCACATAATATGAACTTGGTCAATTGAATCACCTCAAGCCTTGCCTTATCATCTATCGAAGGATAATGATACATTGCCTTCTACATAGAGTTGGTGAAAATAGAAGCAGGGAATAGCTGCGAAGTGTTATCTTTAAAAAGTAAAAACACATAAATGGTTGATTTTTAAAGTATTTATTATTTTACCTCAGAATTATTGTATTGTCAGAAACATACAAGGTTACCCTGTTATTTATAATCAAATCATAAACAAGAAGGAAAAATTAATGCAAAAGATTTCTGATGTACCTAAAGGTCAAATGTAAATAGCTTATAAATTACCTGCTAAATGTAACTATACATTTTATGTTAATAAATTCCCTGCTATTTCTGACTGTTCACTTAACATTCGTTCCATCTGAAATTTTAATGACTCATATTTCTCGTATGGTAAACTGTTGTCCATCTTTTCCACACAAAAAGGGACTATATGGCCACTTATCTGAAATCACTCAGGGGATGAGAAATATGATTAGGATTATGTGTTTTTAAACTCACACACACATTCTTAAAGATTGTATATTCCATTCTTATATTCATTATCATTGTATATGTCATTTGCATCCTTTTTAATTTTTATCCTACTTTTTTCTTTACTTTTTTACAGTTTTGAGGTATAATCGACATATAACATGGTGTATACTTAAGGTGTACAACATGGTGATTTGATACACTTAATATATTGCGAAATCATTACCACATTAAAATTAGTTAACACAGCCATCACCTCATAGAATTACAATTGTGTGTGTTGAGAACATTTAAAATCTACTCTCTTAGCAACTTTCAAGTATACAATACAGTACTAGTTAACTATAGTGCTAAATATTAGATCCTCAGGACTTACACGTCTTATAACCAGAAATTCGTACCCTCTGACCAACACCTCCCCATCACCCCTGCCAGCCCTTGGCAACCACATTCCACTTTGTCCTATGAGTTTGGCTTTTTTTTTTTTAAGATTCCACTTTTGAGATTGCACAGTATTTGTGTTTCTGTCTGACTTATTTCACTTGGCGTAATGTTTTCAAGTTCCATCATATTCCCAGAAGAGACAAGATTATCTTCTTTTCTATAACTAAGGTTTTATTGTACATGTATGCATATGCTTATAATATTCCATTGCATTATGTGTACCTATATATGAGTGTATATATATGTGTGTGTGTGTGTGTGTGTGTATATGAATATATATATGGCACATCTTCTTTATCCATTCATATGTCAGTGGACACTGAAGTTGTTTCCGTGTCTTGGCTACTATGAATAATACTGCAGTGAGCACAGGGATGTAAATGTCTCTTCAAGGTAATGACTTCACTTTCTTTGGATAAATACACAAAAGTGGAATTGCTGAATCATATCATCATTCCATTTTTAACTTTTTGAGGAACCTCCGGGCTGTTCTCCACAGTGGCTGGACCAATTTACATTCCCACCAACAGTACACAAGTTTCCCTTTTCTCCATGTCCTCACCAACGCTCGTTATTGCTGTCTTTTTTATAATCGTCACTCTTAACAGGTATGAGGTGATTATCTCATGGTGGCTTGATTTTTGCAGTTTCCTGATAATTAGTGGTGTTGCACATCTTTTTATGTACCTATTAGCCATTTGTACGTCTTTTTTTGGAAAAAAAGGCCTACTTAGGTATTCTGCCCTTTTTTTCCTTTTTTTTTTTTTTTTTGCTATGGAATTGTATGAGTTTCTTATGTATTTTGGATATTAACCCCTTATTTGATATATGGCTGCAAGTTTTTTTCCAGTTCTTTAGGTTGTTTCTAATTCTTGTGATTGTGTATTTTGCTGTGCAGAATCTTTAGTTTGGTGATGTCTCATTTATTTTTGCTTTTATTGCTTGTGCTTTTGGTGTTTTATTCAAATAATTATTGCCAAGACCAATGTTAAGGAGTTTTTCTGCCTTGTTTTTTCTAGGAGTTTTATTGTTTCAGATCCTACATTTAGTCTTTAATTCATTTCAAGTTAATCTTTGTGAGTGGTGTAAGAAGGGATCTAAATTTATTCATTTACATGTGACTGACTATCCAAATTTCTCAAAAGCATTTATTTAAATGACTATTTTTTTTATCATTGAGTATTCTTGATTCCCTTGTTAAATATTTGTTGACCATATATGCAAGTATTTATTTATGGACTCTCTAGTCTTCTATTCCACTGGTCTGTGTGACTGTTTTTATGCCAGTACCATACTCTTGATCACTATAATTTTGTAATATAGCTTGAAATCAGAAAGTACAATGCTACCAGCTTTATTATTTCTCAAACTTGCTTTGGCCACTTAAGGTCTTTTCTGGTTGCAAACAAATTTTGGGATTGTTTTTCCTATTTCTATGAAAAATATTTTTGGAACTTGGAGAGATTGCACTGAATCTGTAGATCACTTTGTGTAGTGTGAACATTTTCACCATTTTTATTCTTTAAATAAGAGATTATGGGACATCTTTTCATTTATTTATGCTTTCAATATCTTTCATCAGTGTCTTTATAGTGTCGGTGTACTGATCTTTCACCTCCCGGGTTAAATATTACTGTTTATTAGTCTAGTGATTCTTTCATAAAACAATATTTAATGAGTATGTTCTAGATGCGGGCACTGTTCTAAGATCTGGGAAATGTGTCAGTAAGCAAGACATATAAACTCCCTGCTTTTGTGATAAGTAGATTCCATCAGAGGAAGACAGAAAAAGATTAGAAAAAGAGATAGTGGATAGGTAGACAGGTAGGTACATAGATTTAGATAGATGATAGAGACAGATTAGATAGATGATAGATAGATAGATAGATAGATACAAACAAATAGAAAATGGATGGATATATTGATATGTGGTAGATAAGCAAAGTGATAGGATTGTAAAAGAGGGAATGACATGCTGTAAAATTGTAAGGGAGGAATACTTTAGCTTGAAATGACAAAGGATGCTTCTCTGAGTTAGTGATATTTCAATTGAGATCTGAATGACAAGAAAGAGCCAGTAAAGGGAAATACTGGGGAAGGGGACAAGAAAGGATACAGTCCCTGCCATGGAAACCAGCTTGTGTACAAGAAGGACTAAGAGACAGTGAGCATGGCTAGAGCATTCTAAGAACCAAGAAAATGGTAGAGCATAAAGCCAGTGAATGAGGATGCAGGGTAGATAATATTTGACCATCCTGGGCCATGCAAAGTTGAGATATAGAAAGAGTAGACATAAAGATATTTAACTCACCTTTTTCTCAGGTCAAAATTTTGAGTGATAAGTGCCTTTATTTTCATCCTTTGCCATGCTCCTGACCCCTCTGTTTCCTCTGTGTTTCCAGGCCACTGTATACACACAGAGAGCCTGTGATAAATTGAAAACACGGCCTTTGGAGAGATTAAGGAGTGATTGCATCCACTCAACAAGTGTCTTAGCCACATACTGTGTACTAGTTACTAATAACAATATTTATAGTAATGACTAACATTTAATGAAAATTGTGTCCATTACATACACTTTGCATGTTTCTTGCTCAGTCCTCATGAAATTCTCTGAGTGCATACTATTAATATATCGATTTTCAAATGAGGGGATTGAATTGCACGTGACAAAGTATAATTTGTGCCCTCCAATATCTTCTAGTTCATTAGATAGATATTTGATATAATTGATATGTGGTAGATAAGTAAAGTGATAGGTGACTAAATGAACTAAGTGACTCTAGTCCATTGTGGTAGGTGTCATGATGGAGGTTGGATGGAAACATAGAAAAAGAGTGAGGTGAGAAAAAATGAACACTGTCTTTACATTTGACATTACAATGGCCCTACTGCAAGAGGGATATTGAGAGTTACTCAAGGTCACATAGTGAGTAAGAGTATCTGTGGGCTGCTACCTCCTGATCACTACAGTACCCTAACTAGCTCTCGCTGCGGCCCCTTCCAATAATCCACAATCAACTGTTAAATTACCAGAGTTGTATATTACCTCTTTCTCCAATATTTGCCTTCAAAAGTCAGACCCTTTGAAGAGTAAAATTGTAATTACAAAATTATGCATAATTATGGGGGACATGTCAGTGTCCGTTGTCAGCAACTCTGTAGTGTGCCTGTGCATGCCAGGAGAAGGAAAACGTGGAAGGCACTGGTAGTGGGGAGAAAGACATGGGGAGAGAAGGCGCACGCCCCTCATATCAGTGCATTTTTAACAGGATCTGGAATCGGGATCCGAGAGTGGAACAGAGACCATTTCAGTAAATCAGACATCAACACATTTGTCTTCTAACACCGAGTCCACTGACCTACCGTCTTCCACCCCAGTGGCCAATTCTGGAACCAAACCCAAGTCTACGGTAAGTCATAAGTGATAGCAGTCAGTTTCAACATCAAGTGTTGATGATCTATCATAAGGTAAGAATTGGTATTTCTTCCATTCAGTATAGAAGAAATACTCTTGGAGTTTTAGTTGCAGTGACTTGATAATATTTAAGTACAACCCAACACGTGCTGTTTATTTTATAAACGATAACACAAGTGCTTCACTGGTACTTCATGATTCTAGAGTTATGCCAGATATGGTATTACATGTTGTTGCTAGACACTCAGAACCTTAAAGAACTAAGAATGTAAAATCTGAAGATGGCTCTCCCTGCATTACTTTCTTGACCATACTACTTATCAGTTGGAAAATTGCCTCTCTAAGTTTAGATAGAGAGATATAAAATCACACACATCATAAATTTTATGTAGGTATTAAATGACCTAGCTCATGTAAAGTGCTTAGTGAAATTCTTGGCGCAGAATAAATACTGAATAAATGTAAGCTACTATCATTATCATTATGATGCTTCATTGACTTTAAAATGCTACCAAAACAAATGAAAAGGAGAATTACCACATGCAATATTATAACATGGTGAACTGTGAATAAAAGACATTTTCCTTTAAGTAAAAACTTGAGCTGCAACAGAAAAGCAGTATTTGACTCTAAAAGGTAACATTTATGGAGGAAGTAATTACTACTTCAAATATCTAAAGTCCCTGCAGCTCCAAAATAACCTTTCCTAGTTTAGTGAAAATCATAGTGTCGTATTATTTTTTTAAATGCCCATGTTAGCTTAACACAGAGAAAAAAGTTTGGATTCCTTGTTTGCCTGCCTTTAAAATAAAAAGCAAGTCTGAAATAAGACTGAAAAGAAAATACTGTATTCTGAATTTAAAATATAATAGATATATTCATTTTCAAGAATATCAAAATAATTTTGATGGAATAAATATTTATCAAACACCTACTATGTGCCATGCACTATGTGAGATGATAAAGACTCAGAATAAAACATACTGTCTGTCTTTAAGCAGCTCACAGTCTAACAAAGGGAGGTACATATATAAACAGTGAAATGCAATACATATTACAGCACTGTATATATTGAAAATAAAGGAAACCAATGACATACTACACAATACTATTTGGGGGTACACTGGAAAAATAAGGCCAAAAATATCATGTGCAAACAAGCTGACTTCAATGAAATGGTCCTCTTATTTTTCATAATGGATACAGAAGGTTGAAATGCAAAGTTTTAATATGAAACTTGGTGATCTCATTTTACCTCTTTCTTATTAATGCAAAAGATAAAAGCCACCCAACAGTTTTAACTTGAAGGTTTAAGAAATATTGGAGCATTGACTTTTTGAACACTGGGGACAAATATGGGACTGACATGTAAAAAGGAAATCAAAAAAGAAGGTGAATTACCTTTATAAAGGTATGTACGCTGAAAAGCAGGTCTTTTCACTCAATAAGTTCATGTTCATGCAATAAATATCAGAATAAGTGGTAATTATTCTAAAGTAAAAGGATAATTACCATTGTACTGGTACCCACTATTTCTCCCTTGAAACATACATAATTTAGTGTGTGGTCACTTTATAATTTGTTGAAATTTATACAGCTCTGTGTGCAGTTCCTTAGTTCCTTTTCTTCAATATCCCCATGTTTATAAATGTGGTCGCTATAGTTCTATTAAAGTATAGATATTATTTTTTTATGGTAACCATCTTTGGTAAAGTTTTAGAATGAAAAACATAAAGCCATCAGTTTTCCCAAAACTTTCATCCATTAGAGTATTTTATGATGAGTTCTTAATCAAATTTTTCATGTTTTGCCTTATCAGTTGACCAAACTATTCACCCTACAAGCAAAATGAAAAAATCCTTAAAACCAATTATTGAACAGAAACGTATTTTTTCATGCACCGCAAGTCAAATATTTACTGATAAGTTACCAACTCTGAACGAAATCAGATGTGACTATGTAGTCAGCTATTTAGCTGTGAATTGTCACCTGGACACACAATCACAACTTCATGGTGATGCCACACTCATTAAACAGTAAGCAGTGAGAATCAATATGTAACACAGCATTACACTTAAAGACAACCCAAGACTGCTTACCACATCTAGACTAACCCCACAGGTAGAGCTAGACAACTAGACATGCAACTCCATCCAACCTGGATTTTGCAAAATTCTCTAGCCAGCCATGAAAGTACCCAGGGGGAGAAAAAAACACTCCACTGTTAAATGCAACTGACTTTTAGGAAATTTCTGAAAGAAAATGGCCAATAATGAAAGTAGCATGAAAAAACAGGCTTTTGTTTGGGGGGAGAAGTGTTGTTTTAATTTGTGTTTGCATTTTATTTTTTGTTGTTATTGGTATTGTTATTCTTTTGAGCACTCCCTTTTTACTACAATTTGAAAATAGCTTAGGGGCTATAGATTAAGTTTATGTTCCTAGTTGTGCCTGGATTAAAATATTAGAATGAAAATTTTTACCTATGTGAGAGATTAAACAGATACTTTTTCCTTCCATTTGCATCTTAGGGAATAAATGAGGTATAGTGGCAATCTGGCTAATTTGTGAAATGAGGAAAAATTATGGTAACCTACAATGCTGTTTTTCAACATGAACTAAAATTTCAACTTTATTGTTAAGTAGAAACATTAAATTCTAAAAACATCTACTTCTAACATCCACATACAATGAACTAACCTTCTGCTCCATAATGACACATTTTGTAGAATGCTTATTTTCATTTCAGAATTATTTAATGTTATATTTGATTTGCTGCTATGAAGTCTATTTATAACGGTGACTAACTACCAGAAATATTTGGCTTTCCTCTTGCGTTGTAAGGTCTCTGGGTTTCTAAGTACTTATTTTTCAATAAGATTTCTTCTTTTATATTTATTATTAAAATGAGATCAATGAGTAATCTTCAGATTTTTCATACTATATGAAAACACAAGGATATATAAAAGTAGGTTAATAAGAATAAACTCTGTGATTTGAGTACTCACAACTGGAAACCTACTTTTGCCCACCCTCATGTATGTATCCATGTATATCATGCTGAAAATCGAAGGTGAAAGTAGATTTATGATCTATTTCACACAAAAATTGAAAAGTTAAAAGGTAGGATAATCCACTACAAAAAAAAACCATACACATTTGGAAAAAAGAGATCTAGTTCTTCATGTCAAAAAGTTCATCAATTTTTCTCCTAAATTCTTTGCTTTATTCCCTTGAGGGAGTCTTATAACAGCCTTCATACTAGACACTTCTGCAAACGACCCGTGAGCAGTCATATCAGTTTATGTTAAAGTGCTTCAATTCACTATGCTGACATCTGTCTGACCACGGGGTTAAGTTGCTTGTATTGGTCCTGTATTAACTGATACAGAGTTGTTCCATGAAAGACTTTAAAGCAGAGCACTAAAACCCCAGATGTTTCATTGTTCTTGCTATTGTTGTTTTTCCTAAAGATAGGGATAAGTGTAGGTATTCACAAAATCACTATTAATCATAAACTTATGAAAAAAGAGACTAAGTACTCAACAAGAAAAACAACGTATTTTATTTTGTAAAATAAGTAACAGGGAGAGTCTAGCGGTGTAGGATAACTGAGTGCATCATTAAGAGCAATATCTGTTTTTAATTTAGTCTAAATTCCCCTCCCCACCCACAGAAACTCCTTTCGTTTCCTTGTGATACAGAGAAATCTAATACCAAATGAGGCCCTCAATCATTTGGGCATGTTGGAACCCAGCTAGACAGAGTAGCTTTGAGCATATCCTAAGCTCTCCAAATCAGGGTTGTGATGTACTGGCATTCATATCAGAATGTATTGAATACTGGAATTATAAAATAGTGGAAGACATCAAAAACAGCAGAAGTTATTAACCTTCATTATTATAATTGCTACCAGGTTAAAAAAAATACATCTTATTCCAGCTGAAGGTGGTAACAGTAGCTTGAACTCCACCCCTAATCTTTTCATCATCACCACCAAAATAGCGATGAGAGAGATGAAGGGGAAACATTAGATCACGGGGGAGCAGGAGCTCAGGGCCGGCCGGAGGGCGCACCGCCAGAGACTACCAGAGACCGCCAGCTCCATTAAAGAGGGTTTCAGATTAAATCCCGGCACAAGACTCCATGGCCACAGCCAACCTGACGCTGCTTTATTTACACAGACATTGACATGCCATTAACCTGGCTTCAGGACCAGTATAAACTGGTTTGAAGTATTGTTATATCAGAAACAAATATTACTGGTGTTTGAATTCTCAAGGTACACAAGAACAGTTTCACTAAAGAATGAAGAACAGTGGCTCATTCATCAGAACATGACATAGGTTATGTGATTTTAACATCATCTTCTAAATCATTCGTCTACCACAGTTTTTTGTATGTGTTTACATAAATATATCTATGTGATTAGATTAAATATGCATATATGTGTATGTGTATATATGTATATATATACACACATATATATATACACCACATTATATAGATATAGATAGATATAGACATAGACATAGATATGGGCTTTTGGAAAATAATGTCAAAGAATGGATATTTTCTGAGGTTATTTTTCAGAATTCCATGTGGAATAATTCTTAACCATTTAAATTTTCAATAAAACCAAATTAGTAATGATGAAGTTCCTTTTTTAATTTTTTATTTTTCAATTGCAGTGGGCATTCAATATTATATTACTTTCAGGTGTACAACATAGTAGTTACACATTTATTTAACTTACAAAGTGATTCCCCCAATAGGTCTAGTACCCATCTGGCACCACAGATAGTTATTACAATATTATTTACTATATTATTTATAAATATTATTATATAATATTATATAATAAATATATATAATTTATATATTTAAAATTAATAAATATATAATAATATTTATTATATTATTAAAATATAGTATTCTCTGTACTATATTTTGCATCCCTGTGACTATTCTGTAACTGCCAATTTCTACTTCTTAACCCCTTCCCTTTATATCCAGCCTCTCCTCCCAAATCCCCTCCTGTCTGGCA